TATATATATATATATATATATACACGCACACGTACGCGTACACGCTCACGCATACGCGCACACAAACAGGCTACGCGCGCCCACACATAGACGAGCGCACACACACAAGTGTAATCTGTTTGTGTGTGCGTGCATGTGCGTGAACGTATACGCGTACGTGGGTAAGAGTGAGTGAGTGAATAAGTGAGTGAATAAGTGAGTGTATGCGAGTGTATGTAGGCCCCCTACGTGTGTGTGCGCGCGGGTGTTCGATACTACTGTTCATTTTTCGAAAAAATACATACATATTACTTGACTAAGATAATAAGGCTAGCTAGTCCCTATGATTATTGTTGCTAGAATCTCACCGTTGAGAATATCATGGAGGTTACATTACAGCATTTCACAAGGAAATATGGAAAAAATGAATAGATTTTTCCTTTTGAAAGGAATAAAAGTTGCCCTTAATAGTAATCAATAACCAAGCGCTGTTGGTTCAGAGTTGTATGATTATATGTATTATATATCTATATCTATATCTATATATATATATATACGCACACGTACGCGTAAACGCTCACGCACACGCACACACAAACAGACTACGCGCTATACATATATGTAATATCGGGGTATGCAGCTGTACCGTATAGCCTACTAATAGTCGTACGTCACTGCTTAATGTCGGTTACCGGTACAATCAACACACCGAATATAGATGTTCTTCACGCTCGTCCCAACATAAACGAAATAATATTATTACCCAGCGAGGAACTACTGTACCGGTTCACGGGATTCATGCTTTTATATTCAAATGGAATGGACTTGGTTTGAAAAATCTTTCTCAAATTTTCCTCTGAAATTTCTCGTGATGCTTAGTTTGCGCTCGCATTCACTCATTCACTAACTACCCTTGAGATAAGAGAGAGGTGCGAGTCATCCGCAGTTGCTTTATCAGCGATTAATGTCCGGTTCCGCCTCATTGCGACGTGTTTACAGCGAGACGAGAAAACATGCTTGAAGACGACGTCGTCTGGCATTTACTTTTCTGCTCTTATTCGTTGCCCAAAAGATTCGTCCTTGCAGAAATTTTCCAGCAACCGCAATCGAACCATCAAACTTTTAATATTTTAGTTCTAACATTGGGTAATAAAAATGTTGTTGAACTTAATCGATAGCATCGACAAGATAGATATGCGAAGTGGCGATAGGGGACAGATTGTGTACATTTGCGGTTCGTGTGATAGAGACGTGGCAATGAATGATAAATAAAATGTCTCATATGTGATTCAGTCGCACCGCGTTTCTTTTTAGTAAGTTAACAATTATGCCCAAGGACATTTCATGTACCCTGTTCTACATGACAACAATCGGAAGAAAAAGAGTATCATATTCACCGGAACAATGTGTTTAATTTCGAATTCAGGCAAATTATTAAAACCAATTAACTATTTGGTAGATATAACATATACGTATACGCGTGGAACGTATTTTCACTGCGTCGAAGAAAGTCGCCAGCAATATTATGTAGATTTATGTTCAACATTGATAAACCTTGAAATAACTTGGAAAAAATTAATTATTCTGTTAATGTCAAGGAAGTAGACCATCGATAGCCGCGCTAGCTACTGACTATATTCATTCACAGCCCAAACATATCCAAGCATGAAAACAGTACATCTATCTACCCGAACTTGCTTACACCTGTCTGCCTTAACGATTCGTCGCTTCTTCAAACTTGTCAACTTGCGACCCGTCAAGAAAATAGCGTGCATGTTTTCGCATCGCCAATTTACGCCAATCGCAAATTAAGGATCGCCATCGATATGATAGCTCCGGACACATTATTCGTTGTGGATACATAGGACGTGGCATTAATCACATGCTCTGCTTCCTAGCTGGTGACCGAGTGATGAGAAAACAACAGGAGTGTCATTTTCTATTAAGAAATGTCCCCTGAAAAAAAGATGACGCTCCCAACTAGAAACAAACTGCGAAATAAATTGAAGGGAAATGCCATTAGCGAACAATAGACTATGGCGAACTATGGCGATACGCCTACCGCTTCTAATGTATCATCAAAAGCACGATTAGAGACGTTGTGTTTTATGGAAGTCGGTAATAAAAAAAACCAGTAGGATAATATAAGAAGTACGCTGTGAGCGCTGGAGAGGATCTCAGTTTGACGAAATCGGATTGGGAGAAAATAGAGATATTGCAGCAAACAGAATAGGCCCATATGCTGTGCGGGTTAACAAATTACAGATGCGCTTTATCACGAGCATAAAATCGGACAGTTAGCTGAAGAACAAACAAAATAGGATTAGTCGCGAGCTAGCCCGCCCATCAATCATTGCTGGAATATCTGACGATGATGTATTGTTTGTTCAGCCAGAAGGAAGGAGAGCAAATATAAAGACTCCACTACAGAATAAAGCTATAAAAAAATATTACAGCAGATATAATATTTTCCCAATGCAATAATCCCATACCCCTCATATCTTGTATGGCCTAGGTGCAGGAGATATAATACAGAGTTCTTATACCCATAGAAATAAACATAAACCATAAGTAAGGTGTAAATAATATCGATATACGGCTTCATTCGACACAGAATTATCGACCAAATATGGCATGCTATTTTTCCGTTCCTGAATCGAGCGATGCGCATTTCAACATACAGCTACTCAGTTCAGGTATATTCGACATACGGATACATTCTTAAATATATAATATACATATACATATATATATATATATATGTATATATATGTATATATAATCGTGATTATACGTTTGTGCTGATATTCATATATATTAAATATAATTCGTCCATGAACAGCGTGTGGATACGTGGACATATTGTCGGACGAAAAACTTTGTAGGATGGAATAAAGGAAAACGTGTACGGCTAAATTTGCGATACGCATTACCCATGTGTCAAATAAGCATGCGCATATTTGGTATATCACCATTCGAAACACGAAGAACTCATAATTATATGACGAATAGTAATATACATGCACAGTACATGGACAAATTGCGTCGCATTCACTATAGCTGTTTGCAGAACATGTTGAGAATTGAGTTAGTTGAGTTATTTGCAAACGATTTGCAAAATCGACAGAAGCTACGAATCTTGGTTGTCTAGTTGTCATTAATGTAATGTAGAAGAGCACATGGCAATAATTCTTACTAGAAGGTACTGCGCAAATAATTTAAATTGTATAAATATATGACCGGGCGCTCACGCCTACAGATTTATTCGTCCGGTTCTACCAGAGAGCATGCAACATATGTAACAAGACTTTCGCAGTAAAGTCAAACACATACGACGTTATAAGCTAGAGACTTGAGCCCTACCCGTCGAAAGCAGGTAGATACTATTAGAGTGGCGAGCACATCTCCTACTGTAAACGTCGTCAAAAGCATGGAAAACCCATTTAGAGACCGGTAAAGGCTACAATTAGGTATCAGATGCAGCAAAACGGCAAAAACTGGCGCTGTTTTTTCATGGATTACTTGGAAAATCAGGATTATTATCAGATGACAATGAAAAAATTAGTTTCGCAGAATGGTATTAAAAATACTGACATGAAAAAGACTACAGCTATACATCGCTGATACCCAGCAGAAAATTAATACTGTAATGGAAAAAAAACGTTTTCGAAGAATATACTTATAAGATATACATCGAGCTCAAATGAACCTAGTCAAAATTCTAAATATTTAACAAAAATAGATATCTTACGCCTATTAATACTGTCTACACACGACAGACAGACAGACAGACAGACAGACACACACACACACACACACACACACACACACACACACACACACACACACACACACACACACACACACACAACATACATATATATATATATATATATATATATATATATATATATATATATTATATACTACTACGTAGTAGTAGTACGTACGTACGTAGTAGTCGTCGTACCGTACCGTAAGGTTAACGGTTA